AACCAATAAAAACTTATGCTAATCTGTTAAATAAATAAATATTAATCAACTTTGTTAGAAATTAACAAAAACAATGAAGAAATGCAAGTGAAATAGTACAGCATGTTTTTTTGTTTATTTTTTTATTATTACTATTATACTAGATAATTCTACATGCCAAAAATCCTTTTGTTAAAATGGCTTCATTTTGAAAAAATGAAGAGTATCATTAACATTCTAATGTAGCAAATGATGGAGACTATTATTTATATTTGTGTGACTGTTAAATATTAAACATCTGGCAGTTATGCCTCATCACAATTATACAATAGGAAGCAACTAAAAATGTTGTTCTTAATAACTGTCTCAAGAGTATTTCATTTTGGGATTAATGTATTACTATGAAACCAGTGAGATGATTCTCAATACAACAGTAAATAAGTATTCAAAAATCAACATTTGCATTCAGTTAGTAATATATAAAATCCAGAATATTCTTTAATTTTACAACTGCTAGTATGTGGAAGATATTTTTTATACAAATGTGATAAAACTAATTATTAAAAATTTGAACTAGATTTACAATGTACAGACAGTTGATGCCAATGAGAAATTGTTTAATGAGATCAATGTTGTTACTAAGAAGAATACTGATATAATAACTGACTAATTTTAGACATACTGGTTGGGATTGTATGAAATGAAATAGTGAGGGCGAGATATAAGGAAGTGAATTAAGATGGTTTTTCTATACCAGATGGTCAAACAGCCAATCAAAGGGGATGTCATTTTAAACTTATTGTTAACAATTAATGAGTTAGCAATTATATCATTACCTTGTCTCTGCTAGTAGTTGCTAAACATAATCTTAACAAATAAACCTACAACTCTTTAGTCATAGATTAACAACAACCAACACTGTCTTTTGACAATAGGTCTTGATGTTAGTCAAGTTTATTAAGTTAAATTAGGCCCTTAAAGGATGTTAACTGATGGCAAGGTTGGTGTTGAAGACTATGAGACAACAGATTTTAAATGATTTCTTTTCTTCTATTTTTATATTAGCAATATTCCTGTCCCTAAACATTTTATGGATACTATCAGAATTGATCTAAATCATATAGATATTAATCCCTCAAGAGTAAAGTAGCAAGACTGAGAGGTTAACCCTCTCTCAGGGCAGGTCAAAGTGCATGTCATGAATTTTTAGAGTTACATTCAAAACTTAAATGACTATCATCATTGCAAATGAATAAACTTTGCCACAAAGTGTAGTTAATAAATCATATCTTAATACAAGATTAAAGGTTATTAATTCTATAAAGAAATAATTAAAAACTCCTCAGTCTTCCTTAGTACGAGAATTGTGACATTTGCTCTCAAGGTTTTCCTTCTTATTTATTTACCACCTCCCAAAGAAGTATGGAATTTAATGTATATATATTGCTCAGGCAAATAATTTTTTCTTTTACAACCTTCAATTTTATTTGTTTACAGAGCCATTCACTAGAAAATCAGATTTATTTGCCACACCCACCTGTCACATTCTCTCTTTCTTAAATTGCTAGTAGTTCTTTTCCTTTGTTTTATACTATTATTTATAACCAATAGAAAGCCAAATATATTAATCAATCAAATCATGTATTACATTATGTTGTTTTCTGCATATGGCCTTGTATTTTGTCTTTCAGTTTCAAGCTTCTCATGGGAATCACATTGACAAACCTTAGCTGAATTTTTAAAGCTCTTATTATATAGTTAGAAAGTCAGAAAAGTTATGATATTTATAGGTCAATGTTTGCTTTTTGTGTGTTTTTATCCTGTGTTCTTATGTGCATTATTTAATTAAGTAAAAGATTAGTATAGTAGTACCATTGGTATAAAAAAGTAGATTAAAGTTTGATTGACAGTCAGCAGAAAAAAAAATACTTAGGTAAGTACCATGTTTCTTGTTGTTTTTTTTGTGTATTATTTATGTAATTATAAAAGTAAATAATGTGTAAAAATTAGAAACTTATTAGGTTACATTAGGCAAGATAATGAATAATAAAAATAAAACATTCTTCACGAGGTATGCTCGCTAGCAGGTCTTGCATTATGTAATTTGATATGGTTACATAACAAATATCTCATAGTTGTGATATTTAATAAAAATTATATTAAAGAAACTCTGAAGGGCAATTTTAAGATCAGATATTTGAACATCTCTCACTTTTTGATAGGTCAACAGACTTAGCAGGTGCCCGAGGATTGGAGAGTTGCTAGTATTACTCCTACTTTTAAAGGTAGTGAAAAACTTGCCCTGGAAAGTTTATGCCAGGTAATCTTACTTTTATAGTGAAAAACCTTTAGAGTCTGAAATACATTATAAATCAGGGTTTCTCAGCCTTTGTACTCAAGATACACATATGCAATTAATGACTTTAGTTTATGGGAGTCATCCTGGGATATGACAGTCCATAACTGTGTGTCTAATGGCCTATGAGATGAGAATCACTTTCATACATGAAAACTTACATGGGTTCAGATGGGAAATCTTGCTTTCCTTTTAAGGACTACAAATCTGAATGACTGAAATGTAGATTGTGTACTTGGATTTTCTAGAAGCTTTTGAAAATATACCACATAAAAGATTAGTTAGAAAATTACAATAGTGGGGTTGGATAAAAAGCTGTGTTTGTAGAGTAGTTCAATGGGAGAAAACAAGAGGTTAAATGAATTTATTCAAACTGAACCCTTGTTACTAGTGGAGTGCCTTAGGGATTAATGCTTGGGGCCTTTGCTTTCTTACTTATATTAATGATAGTACAAGGGACATTAGTAAAGTTTGCTGATGACATTAAACTCTGGTAATTAACTGTACTGAGGCATTACAGAATAACTTAAGAGCATTTGGTAAGATGGGCATACATTTGGAAAATTTCACTTATAATAAGTGCAAGGTAATGTGTTTGGGCTATCAGCTTTAACTGCATGTTAAATGAGGATGGAAATGTATTTAATAGTGCAACTGAAGAATAGGTTCATGGTAGAGAAAAGTTAACCATTCAAGTTATTGAAGCAGTGTTCTGTTGCTAGTAACAGTTACATTGAAAGAGATTTTATTACATACCAAAAGAGATAATTATCTTTACACAAGTCATTAGTTGTGTCTCAACAAAAATACTGTTTCCTTCTCCAAGAATACTGACTTACTACTAGGATAATTCCAGGGTTGGAAGGATTCCCAAAGGGTCAGTTTAAAACCTCTTATTTTCTCTTGAAGATTACAAGATTGAGATGTGAATGGGATAAAGACCTTTGATTCTTGAGTTTGGATCTGAGAGAGTTTTTTCCCCGTTAGGGTGACAGACTTATTGAATGAGTAACCATCTATGATTTCCTTGAAAATAAAGGGTGGGTTTAAATTATTTTCTCAAGGGTGGGTGTGTAAGGACAGCCTTATAGACCAAATAGTCCCACATTATCTCTTTATTGATACATTTAATTTGTTAAATACTGTTTGAAGGATTTTTTTTTCTTCATGAAGTTATAAACTTGTGAAATGTATTCTTCTGAACTTTTGGTACCACAAATGAATTACACTCAGCGTTAAATATATGTGTACAGTTAACCCATTCACTGCACTTTGGACGTACATTTCCCAGTGAACTGGAAAATGTACATTCCAGCCGCAATGAAAGGGTTAAATACAGAAGTAATTTTTTTTTTCGCCTATGACAACTTAAAATTGTTAATACAATTTTATCTACATTAGAAAATACAATGCAGTAATTAATGTTTTACTTTTTAGCTAGTTTTTTTTGTATTTCCCTCTTTGAAACTTACCATTTAGGAATGTTACTACTATTATTTCATGAACTGTACTTTTTGTATATATTTTCCATGGATTATTTAAAAAGAGTTAATATTTTATTTCCTGGCTGTTGCTTACTTAATCATACCACCCCATTAAATGGCAAGATATGTTACATCATTTGCAATTCTATTTTACTACTAGGTAGAAGCACCAAGTCATTTGAAAACAGAATAAACATTACATGTTTTAGAGAATTTTTTTTTTCTAGCTATAATTTGTCATATTTGGCAAAAACACACACACACACTCTTGCATATTTTGATAGAAGGCTGCCAAGCATTCATTTACACATTACTTAAAGTATGCTCTATGGACGAATCATTTTTGTCACTTTCTCTCAAAAAAAATGCATGCTTATCACAATCATGCACTAGCACATGCCCTATTACAGCTTTGCCTAGGTAAAAGCTAAAAATTACAGACTAATAAATTTATGCCATCATTTAAAAAGAACACACTGTAAAAAAATGCTAGTAATCAGAACAAACAATAAAAATAAGATGATTATTGGAAGCTGAGATTCAAATAAATAAACATGGAACTAAAGACTTGTGGTGACACCCCTCCTTTTTTTTCTCCTCTGGTTATGCTTCCGAATCATCAGGTGGCCGAGAAGAGATATACAGATAACTTTTTGATTTCATTAAACTATCCACTAGCCACTCAACCTCAAGATTTAAGAAACGATTAACTTTCATTCTTCTACCTTGTACCCTAATTTAAGTAACTTCTTAATTCTTTAGTATTGAAAGCCATACCAGATAACTTCGTCCAAATTATTGAACCAGCTATTAAGTAATATTCATCTCACCACTTAAACTGATTGACATGCCAGACAATGTTTAAGTCTATTGCTAGGTAGCCAACGTTTGTTTGAGATTGAAGGAAGTCATGTAATTCTTAGTTTTATTAAATCAGACAAGTTAACCATTAGAGGAACATTTCTAATTACTCTTAAGTTAGATATTAGCCATACCATCCTCACAATAACAGTGAGGCTTGCTATTTAGTTCCTTGACACTGGCTTCCACTCTATAAAAATTCCTCAACAAGGTACGAGGAAAAATGTTAGTTATTTCCAAGATCATCAACAATGGCAACTATCTAATATCACAGATTGACTTTAACATATCTAAAACTGTTTGTAAATAAAAACATTTACTTGAGTCTTAGAATCCGGTCCAGCCCACCAGAAAACTCCACTTCTTCTCAGTTCTGCTAACTTAGCATTGAGTTTGTGTGCTAAAACTACAGTTAAAGGCATACACTCTTCCGTTTCATCAGTAGCATAGCCAAACATCAACCCCTAATGGAGAGAACAGAAAAAGAAAGTTTAATAGTAAGTATTTTCATTTGTTTCAATTTCCTTTCAACATTGTTGTTTATAACGATAGAGAGAGAAAAAGAAATATTACACACATTGTAAATGCTTCTTTGATGTTAAGGTCTGATTATAGAAAAAAAAAGTCTTAAATCATAATTTTATTACCAAACATTTTACTAAGAGGATTCTCATCACAAACTTGCTTCAATGAACTTTATTTATACGTCTTTTATATACTTAGTACTATCAACCAATTTGTTACTATTAATTTTCTGTCTTTCTTCCTATGTAGATATAGAAAAATAAAATCTGACCACTATTGTAATTTCAAAATAAAGGTAAGTTTCTGTGATAATAGGTCTCAATTAATGCTACTTGTCCTCTAACTTGTGTAATTAGAAACCAAATCAAAATATAGACATCCCTCCCCTTGTCAAATACCATAGTAGTTTAACTAGTGCAAATAAGCAAAGTTTGTTAATACTGCTCAATGGGCTATCTGTGTTGCATCATCCCTAAGGACAGAGCCAAATATTTTAGCATTATAAGCCCTCAAACTTACCAATGAAGAGATAGAAATTAATACACTAGCACTTTGCTTGAAGCTACTTTACAAAAAAAAATAGTTAAACCTCACCATAACGTGTTATATGTAAATCATATCTGGTGCACTCGTTGAGTGAACATTTATGGAAAACTTACCTTCTAACAACAAATGAAGCCTAATTAAATTTCTACACTTTCAAAAGCGTAACATGTTTGAGATATAATAGCATGGTTTTGTGCAAAACACAAATGTAACCATAAGTCTATTAGAAAAGACAGATTGCAGCTTTTTTTTTCTTGGAAAATAATTTGTCAGATATTTGTCACCACATACTTCACCTACTCACCATTTTTCTCATTTATATAAAGTGCAAAAAGAACTACAAAACAGAAAATGTAAGAATAAAACTTATTTTGTCATTAACACTAATACTACAATACATTGAGGAGACTACTGAGAAGTTTGTTACAACACTCAATTTATGCAAGCACATTTTTTTTGTATGTTAGTATTAAGTGTCACTTAACATTAACCTTCAACTATGTATTCTCTCCTTGTATCATGTTTGTTTTACAAACTCACAGAAATATAATGTTGGCACATGTAAGCTGACACAATAGTTGAGGCATTATGGGAAACATCTTGACACGGCCTTTTGGGGTCAATAATTATTATGTAGGTAAACTTTAGGTGCTAGAAAATGGGCAGAATTAAAACTTACTAAATTTTACTATTGCTTGAGTAGGCAAATATAACTTAAATGTGAGACGATGGTAAAATTATTCCTGTGTGTTGATTCATTGAAAGAGAGAGAGAGAAAAAAAACTTTCATTAACAACTAGCTACTACGACATTATAAAATTAGAGATGTACATAAAAAAGTTACAGAAATTACAGTTGATTCAAAACCATTCACACCTGATCTCCTGCTCCAATTTCTTCTTCTTTCTTATTCTCATAAACACCTCTAGCAATTTCAGGGTTTTGTTGTTCAACAGCCACCAAAACATTGCAGGTTTTGTAATCAAAGCCTTAAAGTGGAAAAAGTATTGTTTTTTTTACATGCACCAAGATACTTGCAGATATATAAAGTCATCTTTCTACTTCTATCCTTAATTTACTTGGATACCATGCATGATCTAAAGAACTAAAGATTGTTTTCAATAAAGATAACATTTCAGGCACAAGTATTCATATTACTACTACAAGTGCACTCAGAAGAACAAATCTGTTTATGCATTTAAATTGCTCAATCAGATTGTGGCAAAAATATTGGAAGACCATTTCTTCTACTAAATGGTCTTTCAAGTTTCAGATAAAGAAAACTAAGAACACCACTAGTTAAAACACCAGTACTTTTTTTGATAATGGAGTTTGCCTGAGGCATAATTTTTAAGTGTGGTAGAATCTGCAACATTGATGTTTAAAGGAAACTGGAAGAGTATTTTAGACAGAGTTAGACAAGAGGTTTCTAAGTGTAGTTTAAGCTAGGTAGTAGTAGAAAATGGAATAACCTAAATGGACCAAATGATGACTCATGATACACCATATAAATATTTCCTAAAATAATATGCATTAAGGTCAAATATACTGAATCAAGAAGACAGTGAAGAAATATGGAGTATTTCCTAAAAGTAACAGCATTAAACATCAAAATTAATGTTGGTCCTTTGGCTACAAATTTAAGATAAAACATCAAAATGCCAAATGAATTATAAAAGCAAGATTTAATCAGAAACAAATCAACCTGCCAAATACAATTAAGTGCTTAGGCTCTTGAGCCGAGGTATGTGTGATATGATTGTGAAAAATTAGTTGAGAATTTTAAGTCATTACAAAATGTTTATGCATAGCAAACTAATTTACTTGTTAAGATATTTCAGTGTTTGTTTTATGGTCTTTAACTTGCACTACTTCTAAATTAATTTAAAACTTAATACAAATCAATATAAAATTCACATAGATTGGGAAGAAGATAACTGGTTTTGAAAAATTTGTAAAAGTTATTTCACAAGAGTTAAATTATCAAGACAGAAATTAAACAATGACTTTCAATCCTTTCATTTTTATTAAGCTTGACTAAAATACTATAATCAAGAAATATTTCTCATTACAACATCTACAATTCTAATACTGGCTTTAAATTTACGATTAAAAACAGTATTTTACCTTTTGAGCAGCTGTCATATCCAATCTTCTTCACAGTTTCTCTTACAATATCGTGATAATTAATATTGGCCTTAGATGTGATTTCTCCAAAAACCATTATCATACCCGTCTTGGATGCAGTTTCTAATAACGTTATAAAAATGTATTTTATATTTAATAGTTCATAAATAGCTTATGTTTTTCACTAACAATGCACATTTAAAATATTCAGTTCTATTTTGTGTAGAATACCAAAAGATACAGTAAAATATCAAGCATTAATGCAAAAAAAGTAAATTGGGGAATTCTCATTGTTATTTATATAAACAGGATTTTATGTCAACACTAAAATGTGGTATGCACCAATAATTTTAAAACCAGTGTCAATGAATAGTTTTGCATATGTGAGATGCCAAGTGTTTCATTCTTCTATACCAACTCAAGTATGTCAAACACTTAAAAATTATTCAAAAAACTAAAATAAACATCAAGAAAAGTGAAAAAAAACAAACATTTTAAATATTAATTATCTGTTTGATTCCTTTTAAGTTTTACAAAACTATTTTACATCAAACAAGTATATTAAAAATCACAAGTTTTTGTTTTACTTTCTTTTTAATGTGTACGAGTTCGTGTAAAAAAAAAAAAAAAGGTGGGGGGGGGGGGGAAATCAAGAGTAACGATTGGCACTTCCATTAAACAGAAAAGGAAATATATGTACATTACTTTCCAAGATAATTACACAATTATTCAGTTACCTTTCAAGTTTCCTCTGAATACTTTTCAATCCACAATTTAGGTTTGTAAGTAAACAATTATTACAATAACAGGTTGTTTCATTACAACTTAACTTTTCTCTTAACTATTTTAATGAAATAAGCTTAGGAATGACAAAGAAACTGATTTTTAAAGAAGCTTGTATCTACAAGACAAATTTAAGAAAACAAATTTAGCTGTTATTTATTTCAACAATAGTTTATGTGGTAAATTTTAGTTATTACAAACTTCATCTCACCACATGCCACTTTAGCATCAGGATCTTGAGTGAGATGAGCATCCAGTATTGCATCACTAATCTGGTCACACATCTTATCTGTGTAAAAAAGTGTGTGTATTACATCATGCTTTAACACATATTTTTGTAGTTTCTATACAAAACTAATACAAATAATTTCATTCTTTGATAAACCCCTTTAAAAGGATTAAAAACAAACATACTATAGCATACAAGTTACAAGTAAGTTTTATTATTATTATCGTTGTTTAAAAGAAATTAAGCAACACTAAATGTGAATTTAAATGAATGTCTGACAGCTTTCTGCAAATAATGTTAAAGCTGTAACAACTGAAATAGTATAAAAATATTTTTTTAAGGGTTCCAATAACTATTTGTAAATTCTTATTTGTTATTATTATATTAGTTATTGCAGTTACTAATTAAAAGCATAAACTTCATTATTAACATACATGTATATCATTTTAATGACAAAAGTACATCAATACTTAGCATTTCTGTTTCAATCTACATTTGAAGTGCTAAGTTTACTGTCAAAAAATTGATTATTTGATTATTGAGCATCTAAAAATATAATTGTTGTATTACCTTAAAATTATTATTTGAACTTTCAAAAATGACTTTTAAACTTAAGAGTTATTTTAATATCACTAATAATAAATGTAGTATTTATCTACTACCCAAACAAAAATATTTAAAGAAAATAGGAAAACGTTAAAATTTATGCAAAGTTCTACATGTATTATGCAAGTATCTTTAAATAAAAAGTTGGAATGATGGAGTGCAATGTATTAAATAAATCGACATTATTAAACCCAGCAATGCAGCATGTGCTCAACGTCTTGTGAATTCGAACTGTTGAAAAGCAACCATGTCCCACATAAAATTCTCATTCCCAAAGTAGTCTATTTAATGATATACTAAATATGTAAATTGAAATTATCTAGCTAAAACTCGGCCCTTCAACGGTCAATTCTTCTATTTTTACGTCAAGATGTTATTTAATTAATGTTATTATTATTGTTTAACATTCAACCACATAGTAACAAAGTTGTACTACATCAGTACATCATGATGGCATTACGGCTCACACGAGTTTTATTGTACTGTTATTTCGCTAAGCCTAATTGGGCTTGCTCTACCTATCCTTAGCGTCTGTAACTGTTGTCTCGATCCGGTTTGCCCGTCTTAACAGGAAGCTGGAGATAAAACTTTGCACCCATCCGCTGAATCGCCGGTCCCAATAGTATAATACTAGGCCTTAATTTAACAGAAAGGTTAAGACACATTTCTTACCAGGATGTCCCTCTCCAACAGATTCTGATGTGAAAAGAAAACTTTCCAGTGTATCATGTTCAGTCGCAATGTGAGCTTCGCCATTCATCATACATTCTACAACCACAGCGTTTTCCGACATCGTTCTACTAGTATATTCCCAAACTATTGAAACAACCCAACAACGAATGGAAAAGAGACCGAAACACATTCGCTCCTCTATTTTATACCTACAGATGTTAATTCCACTGCGCATGAATGTACCTTTCTATCTCATTGGCCATCGTGAATTGTCGATCTTCCAACCTACACAACGTTAGAACACATGCATGTAACACCTAAAGTGAGTGCTGTGTTTTAATACTTGTATTAATTAAAATAGTTTATAGGAACATGCACTTTCTTGTAACCCAATCACTTTATCATCATATAATGTACAGAAAACTGTTCCTTGGGCAACCGGATTTTGCAAAAAGATTATAGACACTTTAATAGAAAAATATCCCTTGTTTACTGCACTGAAAGCTGAAGAAAATTGGTTATCTTTGGGTAGATACTAGACAAAATAGCTCGATGAATTTGGGAATGCTTATTGTTTTTGGTAATCATTCTTTGCTGTAAGCTAAATATATATGCAAATTGGGTAATAAAAATAAGGTACTCACGTGGCTTCTATGCAGCTGATGAAACATTGTGCCAATGTATTTTCACTAATAAAAATATTGTTGTAAGAGGACGTAGGACACCTATAAAGTTCGAAAGATGTGTCTCAAGCTTTTTCTAGTATATTCTAAGGTAGATTATAAATACGACGTTCCGAGAAGCATTGTTAGGTCAGTTAAAGTTTTTTCAAGGTAGCAAGCGAACCAAGCAGTGTGTTAGCTATTGCCGTTACTTTGTACATGTTGATTTCTTTTAGGTAAATAAGGCCATTTGTATGTTAGGCCTACAGCAATTTACGGAAGTGTCCAAATGTTGAACTTTCGAGAAACATTTTAGGAGGAAATAATTTATTATCGTTACCTTGCCTAGACATTGAATTATTTTCACCAGATACTTAAAAAAAAAACAAAAAAACGCCAGTGAAAGAACTGGGCTCCAACACTGGTGTCAGAAGAGGAGTATTATTTTTGTGAAAATAAAATAGAACTTTGAATATACTTGAAATAGAAATTAAACTGCTGAAGATGGCGATCTTAAGGTCAAGTAAAGAGATTCAAGCATTACATGAGATGATGAAATTATTAAGACAAGATATAGAGAAAGAGAGAACAAATGAAAAAAAAACTAAGATGAAATTTACGAGACACCAAAACAAGACCAAGAAGCAAGAGACCAGAGCTTGAAGGAGTTAAAAGAAAAAGACGTGCTATTTAAGGAAGAATTAAAATGAAAAATAAATATGATTGAAGACAAGATGATGAAACTATAGGGGGTGTACAGAGGGATTACAACAATAAGATTGAAGAAGTACAGCAAAGCTGTAATGACAAAATTAACGAATTCAAAAAATATGAAACTGCTTGCCCAGCTACTATCTTACCCAGATCCTCTTCCCTTTAAATGGTGGATTATTTGGTACATGACCAATTTATAGACGCCATAACAGAGGAGGATATGGGAATTAAGGTGAGGCAGAGGTACACATTTTTAAAGGAAGCTCTGCATTTGGCGAATGAACAAGAATCCATTAAGGTTGTAGGTAAACAACTAAAGACACCCTCTTGAAGTTAAGGAATTGTCAGAAACATCAACTCAGACTGTCGATAGCATAGAACAATGATGGACAAGCTGTTGTTCATGACACCCCCTTTCTAAACTACTTTGTTGTGCCACCAGCACCTCATATAACATATTTGTGCATATATATACTGTACATGTAAGTTTCCCATGTTATTTACTGTTACTCTATTACTTAATAGTAGTAATATTGGTATGGTAGTTTTTAAAACTTCTTTATTTTTAGATGTGTACTTTCATATCTAACTTATATGCTCCTATATTCATAGTTGCATGCCCCTATACCAACTCTCTGTACCCCTTTGGGAGGGGGCAAACTGGCATAGAAAGAACTAAAAAGAATGGTTAAACAACTAGTTACACAGAATGGAGGAAATAAAGCACAAGACAATGGGCGATTCAAGTGTAACTTGAAGGGACATATTGCCAAAAACTGTAGACAAAGGTCTGTATAGAACAAGATCTCCTCTCAAAGGATACAAGAAAGAAGTATATTATAAACTTGGCCATTACACCCAAGACTGTAAAGAATCAATAGCTGTTACCAAGCCAAGGAGACAGAGCCCAACCAGATTAAAGGAACAATGCAGAGCTAATGAGGCATCAAGAAAACAGGAATTAGTTAGATTTATGAGGCGAAGTTCAGCTGGAAATATTCCATTTACCGCGAATAAGAAAAGAAGTACATTATTTGAGGAAATTTGTCCACGATTCCACGGATTTGTTGACGGAAAACCTTGAAGTATGCTGATTGATACTGGTTCTATGGATACAACTGTTTGTCCTGATTTCTTAACGATAGATGGAAAATTACCTCCGGAGATGAAGAAAAAGAGGAATTGGTGTAACCAGTAGGCGGACATAAAGTTCCAGCAAAAGGTAAGCTGGAAGTTATCCTTACTATAGGAAGCTTTTTTGGGCTTTATGATATTTGGGTAATTGACAACGAGAAAGAGTGCATTTTAGGAACTGACTTCATGTGAGACGTGGTTGTGAGGTTAAACTAATTTCAAATGGTTTCATAATCTATGACCAGGAAATCCCTGTGCACTACAAGGCAATTACTACATCAGAAGTTGAATGTCCAGTGGAAACAGGGACAGTGATCATTGTACCACCAAGAAGGGAGATACTCATATCAAGAATTAATAGCAATAACTCTTTATATAGTGACTGGGCATAATGAAACCAAATAATCCAGTATATCATGAGGGATTGATAGTAAAAAGAGCTCTCCTATATGTGATGAAAAAATATGCCATATGGGGCTTTAATTAGAAAAGGCTTAGATGAGCTTGTGATATAGAGAAAGGTAGTTATGCTGTAAGTGCTCATAAAAATGGATTTCATCAAGGTGACATCAAAGTATAGCTGGACAGTTCTCGTCACGAGAGAGGACAAACTCCAAAGTTAAGTAGGTGTTCAGAAAGAAGATGGTCAGAGGCAAAGATCTCCCATCGTGATTGTCTTTGGAAATATGTCGGCAAGAGAACAGTCAACTGGATAACTCTTGAGAAGAATGGTTCAGTGAAATCTCAACTTGCAAAAGAACTCAGAGCTCCCGATGAAGCTACTTCCAGTTGATTCATCCAATCACCTATTTGAGGAGAACTCCACCAACAACAGGACTGCTAGCAACAACATGGGACAAGATGTCATCCCATTCATATACCATGGACCTTGAAAGAAAAGAACACCAAAAACACTTGGTGAATGAACAGGTTAGTGTAGTGTTTTATTATTTTTCCATATTAGCATTGTTAAAGGTCCTTCACAATCCAAGAAGGACGCGGTTTTGTGAGTTATATTTTTAATGCCGTAATTAGTTAGCTAGATGGAGGAGAACACCTAGAACATTTGAAGAATTTGACGTCAGGCTTTTTCTAGTACATTCGAATGTAGATTATAAATACGACGTTCTGTGAAGCGTCGTTCGATTAGTTAGAGAGTTTAGAGTGATTTGAAGATAGCGGACAAGTTAGTGTGTTAACTATCGCAGTTACTTTGTACATGAAAAGTTTTTT